TCCCCAGCCCCGCCACCCCATTTTACATCCACAAAAAATCCCAACTCTGCTCCAAACCCTGCCCGCCTCTGGCCTACTGTCTCATCTGGTTCCAACCCTCCCCTGTATTTGCAATTGGTTTCCAGACATGGACCCTGGGGATTATCGGCAYGGCAAGGGTGGAGATCTTTTATGCAAAGCCTCTTTGTGCTCACCCCTGCTCCTCCCATAACTCTCCTCAATCAATTATGAGGGCAGGAACCCTGTGAGCTCAAAGGCTTAAGCCTAACAAAGATTAACTTTTATTAAGTCAAATATAATTAAAGTAAGTACCATTTGATTACTTTTTTCTCTGATGTATTTAATCCAGAGTTAAAACACTATTGTGACTTTCAGGAAGTATAAATCAAGAAAATATTTGTATCTTTTAAACTATAAGTTCTACTTGAGGAAACTGCACTGAAGAAAAAAGTCAGAAAAGAGACAAAGATTAGTYGGTTGTGGTGACATAGGATGCATCCTGTAATCTCAGCTACTCAGGAGGCTGAGGCAGGAGGATTGCCAAGTTCAAGGCCAGCCTGGACAATTTACCCAGATGCTGTCTCAAAGGAAAAGGAAAAGGGCTGAGGATGTGGCTCAGTGGTCAGGTGCCCCTGGGTTCAGTCCCCAGTACTACTACAGCAACAAAACCCTTAAAGATAGTGCAGGAGAATGTTATCTGCAGCATTCTTTCTTACTCTTTTTTCTTTTGTTCTCTCTGTTGCACTGACTTCCTAGCCGATTATTACATCCCTATCATTTCCAAGCCTTGGTTTTCTTGTTTATGAAATAGCAATAAGACTCAAATTAAGGGCTGGTGGGCAGAGTCAAAAAGACAGAATCTACCTCAAACCAGGCCTGGGCACGTTGTAGCCTTCAGAAATTTGTGGCTTCTCCTATAATCCCAGTGGTTCCAGAGGCTGAGGCAGGAGGATTACAAGTTTAAAGCCAGCCTCAACAATTTAGCGAGGCCCTAAGAAACTCAGTGAGACCCTGATTCTAATAAAATACAAAAAAGGGGCTGGGGATGTAGCTCAGTTGTTAAGCGCCCCTGGGTTTAATCCCTGATACCAAATAATAATAATAATAATAATAAWWAWWAWWAATAATAATAATAATAATAATAATATTAATAGTGGCTTCTCTCTCCTCTTTCTCACTTCTCCACAGTCCCTCTCTTTGACTTGGCACCACATGGCAGATCCACTCTGAGTCTCCTATCCTATCTGTCTCCCAAGAGTCCTTGACTTTGTGGACTGATTTGGAAGGAATGCTGACCCTAATGAGGCACCCCATCACAAGCCTACCTCCTACTTCCTGACTCACCCAAAAGTGCCCCAACTCAGAACCCAGAGTAGAATGCAGAGTAAGGCCGAAGCTTACCCTCCTCGTGCTCGAGCTCCCCAAGGACCACGTACAAGGAGCCCACCTGGGCCTGGAACGGCTCCACCAGCTTGGTACAGACAAGAACCTGGTGCTGATCAGATCCGTGCTGAGCCCTCAGGGTCACCCTGGACTGGGTCACGTCATAGAAGCACAACCTGGAGAGCGGAGGAAGCGAGATCGTTTCTATCTGTGGAACCGCCACAGATAAACCTGGGGAAATCCACAKCCACCTTCAATGCACCCAAGAAAAAACTAGAAACAACAAGTGTTTCAGTCTACGTTGTAGACCAGGAGATGACTTTCATTTAAGTTTCTTCCTTTTGTTTTAAATTTTCTTAATGGTATTTTGTAATTTAATTTTGTTGCTATCCAATGTAGTTGCTTTTTTTTTTTTCTTGTATGTTTTCCACTTTCTGTGTCTTAGCTGAGATTTCTGCTGATCACAAGGACATTGTGAAGATTCGTTCTTGGTTATTTCTGGACATTTCATGATTTCAGCTTATATTTCTGTGATACAGTGCAAATTATTATCCTTTTGTATGTTGTGAGATAGGGATCAAATTGTTTTTCTCCCATAAAAATATCTGGTGATTCCAGCACCATTTTTTGAAACAATTGTCCTTTACCCACTGAATTAAACTGATATTTTTCAAAAACCATTAGAGAAAAGGCTAAATGAAYTATGGCATAGTCATGCTCACCTAACAACAGGATATGCTCTGAGAAGTGAGTTGCTGGGCAATTTTATCACTATGCAATCAGCCTAGGGCACACTTATACAAACCCAGGTGGCTGCCTACCACAAACCCGAATCACCACTGGGCCCAGCTAAGGCACTATATTTGAGAGTGATTTATTATACAGAATATGCAACCAACAGAGTATGTGGAACATGTAGGCAATTGTAACCCAAGAGTAAGTATTTGTGGACCTAAACATATCTAGACATAGAAAAGGTACAGTAAAAATATGAGGTGAGAGGCTGGGGTACTGGCTCAGTGGTAGAGCACTTGCCTAGCATGCGTGAGGTCCTGGGTTCAATCCCCGGCACCACATAAAARTAAACAAATAAAATAAAGATAATATGTTCATCTGCAACTAAAAATATTTTTTAAAAAATATGAGGTAATCATAATTTTTTGGCTCCATTACTCCAATATAATCTTTTTTTTTTTTTTTTTGAGTGTGTGTGTGTGGTTCTGGGGACTGAGCCCAGGGGTGCTTTACCATTGGGCTACATCCTTAGTCCTTTTTTTGTTTTATTTTGTTTTTAGAATCAGGGTCTTGCTAAATTGTTGTAGCTGGCCTTGGATTTCTGATCCTCCTGCCTCAGCCTCCCAAGTAGCTGGGATTACAGGCATGTGCCACTCACTGTACCCAGCTCCATTTTAATCTTATGGGACCATTGTCATATAAAATCTCTTGTTGACCCGCATGTTATGCCATGCGTGAGGGTATATTTAGATGAGGTAGATTTATAYGCGTGACATGAAAGCACGTCTAGCACATGCAGCTATGTAAGTGCATAAATGGTACAATATAGAAACACCACAGAACCTCATCTAGGCTAAAATATGTCCTCAGATGTGTACACATATATCCCAGGATGGGCCCCATTGAATTGCATTTCCTGCATGCCCTGCCATGCTGAATAGGGCTGATGTGGGTAACCAGCGGATTCTGCAGGAATGAGGGAGAGTGACTTCTGACTCTGTCATAAATACGTGGTGGCCTCCACCTTGCTCTGTCTCTTGGATCGCTCATTCTGGGAGAGRCAGCTGTTAGAGAGAGCCTCACTCAGCCCTATGGAGAAAGCCACATTGTCCCGGGCTGAGTGTTCCTGCCAGGAGCCAGCAATAATTTGGCAGACAAGTGAATGAGTCACCTTGGAAGTGGATCCTCTAGTCCATCAAGGGACAAATGGCACCCGTGGCCATTATCTGGGCTGCAATCTCATGAGAGACCTGAGCCAGACCCACCCAGTTAAGCCACCCTTGAATTTCTGACCCACACTAACTGTGAGATAATAAACATCTGTGGTTTTTTGGCGTGGGGGTTACTGGAGATTTAACCCAGGGGTGCTCTACCACTGAGCTACAACCACCAGCCTTTAAATTTTTTTTTTTTTTTTTAATTTTGAAACAGGATCTCATTAAGTTGTCTAGGGCCTTGCTAAATTGCTGAGACTGGCCTTGAACTTGGGATCCTCCTGCTTCAGCCTCCGGAGCTGCTGGGATGACAGCATGCACCACTGTGCCCAGCTAAGGCACTATATTTGAGAGTGATTTATTATAAAAGAATATGCAACCAACAGAGTATACATGTACATACATATATTGGCCACCCAGATGTATGTAYATACATACATATGAACATAAAAAAGTGTAGAAAGATAATCACAAAAATGTTGGCAGTAGTTATCTGGACAATGGGATTGTAAGTGATTTTGCTTTTCTTTACTCTTTTCTGGACTCCCTATATTTTTACAGCGAATACATATTCATTTTTAGCATTTTYCATAATTAGACAAAACTATATAAAACTACTCTAATTGCTTCATTTTCAGGGGGGAAACCATTTAAACATTCCCCCTCCCACCATGTGACAAGACCACCTTTCTCACCTGCCATATGTTCTCAGGATGCCCCCATCAGGAACCTGGCCAGCACTGACCTCCCAGGGGAAGTAATAGATCCCAGGTTTGGGCAGCATTGTTGGTTCCTGTAACCAAATAGGATGGATTTTTGAAGGTTCCTGATAAACCAAGCAAAACACAAGACAGACCCAGAGATGCACAAGACCAGCAATAACACCTGGAAGACTAGCTCTAGTCAGGAGAGAGATATTGAAAACAGTTTTGAGCTCGGCTTGGTGGTGCACACCAGTAATCCCAGCAACTTGAGAGGAGGAGCAGGAGGACCACAAGTTCAAAGTCAGCATCAGCAACTTAGCAAGACCCTGTTTCAAAATAAAAAAGGCTGGGGAAGCTAGGCGTGGTGGCGCACGTCTGTAATCCCAGTGGCTTTGGAGGCTGAGGCAGGAGGATTGCAAGTTCAAAGCCAGCCTCAGCAAAAGCAAGGCACTGAAAAACTCTGTGAGACCCTGACTCTAAATAAAATACAAGATAGGCCTGGGGATGTGGCTCAGTGGTTGAGTGGTACCGAGTTCAATCCCCATGTATTCCCCAAAATAAACAAACAAATAAATATCAATTTCATTAAAAGGGAGGAGGCTGGGGATGTGGGGATGTGATTAAGCACCCCTGGATTCATTCCCTGGTACTAAAAAAAATTCTTTTGATATGTTATTAATGCACATAACACACACACACACACACACACACACACACACACACACAGACCATATGGAGAAGTACTGCTTCTTACTCCAATTTCAGTGCAACCCATTCCCAGCAATGCCCAAAAGCATGGGTCTGTAAATGAACAGACAGCACTTCCGGCTTCACAGGCTAGACGATGTCTGTTGTAGCTATAACAATTTTCCTTATACTAGGTTTCCTCTCAAATATTCAAGAACGGGCTGGGCCTGGTGGCACATGCCTATAATCCCAGCAACTTGGGAGGCTGAGGCAGGAGGATCGAAATCCAAGGCCAGCTTCAGCAATTTAGCAAGATCTTGTCTCAAAATTAGGAAAAAAAAAATATAGAGCGCTGGGGATGGGTTCAGTGATACAGTGCCCCTGGGTTCAATCCCCAGTATCATAAAATAAAATAAAATGTGAGAGAACTAGGGATTCAGGGATAATTAATTGTTCAATGACAAAAGAGTCCTGAAAGCAAGAGCTTTCAACTATTCGTGGACAGGACAAGCACATAGAGATGGGAATAAAGATAGACGATAATGAAATAACCCTAAAAACCCGTAGAAAACAGATGACACAGCCTCAGTCCAGAAGTTAAATATAACCTAGAATCTTGCACAATTGGTATGATTTACAAGGAGGTCATTGGGCAGTGTTGCAAGTCAGTGTGCAACGGACATTTTGAGAAGCTGCCAAGAGCAGGCTTGGTTTGTACAGTTTAGGAGCCACGGGCTGAGTCTCAGCTGGCCCCATCCCCCTAAATGTGTGTGTCGTGAATTGCTGTGGCCAGTGGGCAGAACTGTCGGTCACTAGACATGAAACAGCCCCCTAATCACCTCTGGCATGACCAAGAAGCAAAAATCGAAAGAAAACAAAAAATAACCAAGGAGAGAGAAAACAGAGCAGTGGCCCATTAGGGTCAGGGGGGACAATCCCCTTCAGTCCAGCAAAAAGATGACACACACCTATAATTCCATCCACGTGGGAGAACAGGC